CATGTATAGCTGCCCATTTGACATTTCCTTGCCCTTCGGTGTTTTTCACATCAGTTAAAATTAAAGTTCTTTATTTTTTCAAATTACAAATATAATATGTGCTTGTGATAACAAGAGAAACATTTTTCCTTTTCCACAAAGAAAAAGCTCTCCTGGTTCATTCCTCCTCCCATGCCTTCCAGGTGGTTACCAGAGGCTGGGAAGGGAAAGGGGTAGAAGAGGGAGAAGAGAGTTGATTAAAGGATACAAAATACAATCAGATGGAAGAAATAAGCTGTAGTGTTTGATAGTACAGTGGGAAAATTATAGTTAACAATAATTTATTGCATATTTCAAAATAGAAGAGAAGAATTGTAATGTTCTTAACATAAAGAAAAGGTAATGTTTGAGGTGATGGCTATCCCAATCACCCTGATTTTATCATTATACATTGTATACATGTGTCACAATACACATACCCCCACAAATATGTACAACTATTGTGTATCAATAAAAAATACAAGAAAGCACCATTCAATAAAGGGTGATGGGACAATTGGTTAGTAAGTTAAAGAAAAAAAATAATCAGTTTGGCTCCTCATTTCCTCCTTTTTAAAAAAAAGTTAAGATTAAAAAGAAAAACAGCTTACAACAGAGCTGAGTTGTGTTTTTTGTTTTTGTTTTTTTTAGTTGGAATCTCACTCTTTCGCCCAGGCTGGAGTGCAGTGGCACGATCATGGCTACTGCACCCTCAACCTTCTGGGTTTAGGCGATTCTTCTGCTTCAGTCTTCCAAGTAGCTGGGACTACAGGCACACACCACCACGTTTGCCTAATTTTTTGATTTATTGTAGAGACAAGGTCTTGCCATGTTGCCCAGGATGGTCCCGAACTCCTGGGCTCAGGCAATCCTTTCACCTAGGCCTTCCAAAGTGCTGGGATTACAGGCGTGAGCCACTGTATTTATTAAACCCTGTGAAAGGGCAGGACAGGCTGTTTTATCAGTGGAAGAAATTACTATGGAACATTTGCCCACTGAACAATTCTGAACTGTGTCAAAAGGGCAGTGATACACTGGAGAAATATTTATAGCAAATGTGCCAAGGGTATTTTATTATACGTTGTTAAAGATCTTATGCCCATGAAAAACAAAGCAAGGTACAGAATAATATGTACACTGTGATTCTTTTTTGGTAATAAAACCAAACCCCCTTTATGTCTTTAACCATATCCCAGTTTAACCTGCGGATACTCCCTGGCAGTATTTGTGGTCACAGTGTTTACCCCGAGATTTAAAAAAAAAAAAAAAAATATATATATATATATATATGTATATAATAATTCTCTTCCTTTTTTCTTATTCGTTTTTAAAATTCTCGTTAGGGTTAGAGACAAGTTCTGTTTAGAAATAACTTCAAGAACAGTTTCTATATTTTTTTTCACGTTGAAAACCAAATTTGCTTCAGCCTCAAAGAGCGTGTTTATGCCGATCTAAATGAATGCAGCAGCAAACTGCACTTTTTTTTTTCCTAAACGTATAAAGAGTTAAAAAGAAGTGGTTTTATTTGTATGCACAAACAAGGAGAAAGAATAGAGACACAGCTGGGCTTTTACCTCTGGCTTTCTGTGAAATAATCTTCAGGTACTTGTTTCAAATCTTCATGTTATATTTTTGTACAAGTTAAATCATTATGTGCCTTTAAAATGACAAATTTTCCATAAGTTTGTGCCAGTGCTGCTGTATTAAAGATAACTTGACTAAACTGTTAGGTTAAATTGTTCTGAAGGTTGAAGTACATGACTTTCTGTGGTAATCAGAATTATATGCCTTGTGTGTAAGTGCTTTTATGGTTTCCTTTTATGGCTTTCAGAGAGTCATAACTTGCAAAAATAATTTTAACTTGTTTTAAAAATTTTGCAGTTGAGTGAAATGACCGCTGTAATAATAAATACCCACGCAGGAAATTTTCTTTTGATTTCTTAAGGTCATTTTCTGGAGAGTAAATGTGTTTTTAGTGTTGTCTGTGCAACACCTACATTAGAATCCCTTGGAAGCTTATTAAAGCAAAGATTCCTGGGTTCCATCCTTCATCCTCTGAATCAAAATCTGAGGGAAAACCTAGGAATTTGCATTTTAAGTAAGCTCTCCAGGTAATTTCCATGCTCTTTCAAGTTTAAGAACTTTAGGTCATACAACTTGTACGTGATGTATGGTAACTGAATCTAGTTCTGGTTTTGATAAATAAGTTGCTGTCATTTTATTTCAAACTCATTGTACTTCAACTTCCGATCTATAAGGCTTCAATGTTTATTGTACTTTAGGTGATACTCTGAACATTTATGAAGTATCTTATAAACCATAAATTTCTGCAGGTGCCAACTCTGTAACAACTAGTATCACATCGTTGGGAAAATAAAAACTTCTTTGGGCCTTTTTCTTCATTTGCACAATAAAAGAGGTTGGACTAAGATTTACCTATAAGGACTTTTCCAGGTCTGACATGCTAGAGTTGTATGAAAATGAAAGTTGTTTCGAAATTATCAATTTCTAATTTTTCCTTCCCAGCAAGCAGAATTGATAAGGCTGCATTGAGAGTACATGAAATCGTAACATCCAAATAGGAGGAAAGTTCAAAGTACTGTGAAAAGCTTGAGTTCAATTAAGACTAACAAATGCTTGAAACAGTGCTATATGCCAATGGTCCCCAAACATATGTGCATATTAAAAGCACCTGGAAAGCTTCTAACTATTCCAGTGTCCAGACTGCACCACAATCATTGACTCAGGAGTGTCAAGCAAAAGTAGTCTTTATTCTAGGTAATCATATACCCAGCTAAAAATTAGGTTTATTACTATAGAAGGAGAAAACAGGTATTGGGGTATAACTAGCAGCCTCTGCCAACCTCCTTATAATTCACTCTGCTTCTAGCAGACAGTAAACATTCTAAACCGGGAATTGAATCATGACACATACTGGCCACAAACTTTCAATGGCTTCCTAGTGCTTTATTTTTTTAAATTTTATTTATTTTTAATTTTAAAGTTGTGGCATACAAGTCAGGATTGCATATATAAGTGGTTTAGGTACAGGTGAAGTTTTGGGCCTCTCATTGGACCTCACTTTGGCTGGATTAGGATCAGGCACCCTTAGTGATGTTTATGTGCCCTCCTCCCCCGCTGGCAGTGTGCTGCTACTGCCAATTACTTTCTTGTAGTATTACGATAGATGTTTAGGACCTACTTGAGAGTGAGAACATGTGGCACTCAGTTCTTTGTTTCTGTGATAGATCACTTAGTACGCTAGACTCCAAATCTTGGTAGGAGTGCAATCTAATTGAAAACAAGGTGGCAATTTCTAAAAGAACTAGAAATGAACTTTCATATGACCCAGCAATCCCCCTTTTGGGAATACACCCAGAGGAACTCAAATCATTCTACAAAAAGGTAACTGTGCATGCATGTTTACTGCAGCACTATTCACAATAGCAAAAATATGGAACCAATGGTGCTCCCCATCGAAACTGGACTGGATTAAAAAAAATATGTGAGCCGGGCTCGGTGGCTCAGCCTGTAATCCCGCGCCTTTGGGAGGCTGAGGTGAGTGGATTGCCTGAGCTCGCGGGTTCGAGACCCGCCTGGGCAGCGAGATCTCATCTCTACAATAAATCAAAAAACTAGCCGGGTGTGGTAGCGCACGCCTGTAGTTCCAGCTACTTGGAAGGCTGAGGCAGAAGGATCGCCGGAGCCCAGCAGGTGAGGCTGCGGTGGCTGGGAGCGGCCACTGCACTCCAGTCTGGGCAACAGAGTGAGACTCCAACTCAAAAAAAAAAAAATGTGATACATATGCATGATGGAATATTATGCAGCCGTAAAGAAGGACAAAATTATGAACTTCAGCTTGGATGGACTTGGAGCTTCCGAGTGCTTTAAAGATGCAAACTAAAGTCTTCACCATGGCCTAGAAAACTCTGTATAGTCTATAAGGCAAGAGCTCTTGTTTATTTGCCTGCCTCATTCTGTATCCCAGCGGTGTCAGTCCTTATTCAATTCCTCAAACATACTTTCAGTTGCAAGTCTTTTATACCTCAAGTTCATTTCCTCAGGAAAAACCTTCTTAGTGCCTTCCCTTTGTTTAAAAGCTCTGATACAGATCACATTCCTTTCTTATGTGACATTTGTGTAATTATTTGAATGTTTGTCCTCCATATCATATCATATGTAATTTCCATGAGACTACAAGGCCATGCCTTTTTTTGCTTGCTTTGTATTGTGTTCCTAGTGCTAACCCAGTGCTTGGCACAGAGTGGATACTCATATGTTTGCATATACCTACACTAATTCAGTTCATTATTTTATGAGCCCCTATGGTTTAGAGTTTCTCCCACAGTAATCTAATATACTAACTGAAATTCTGTTATTATTTACATTTTATTTTGTCCTCAGATTAGAATGTAAAGAAATAGATTTTGAAGTATAATCTTGGTTTTACAATTTTTTTCCTTTTCTTTTTTTTAAAAAAATTATTTATTTATTTTTTGTTATGAAGTTGTGGGGTACAGTTAAGGGTTAGGTATACGATTGCGTTTCATTCAGGCACCCTGTTGATATGGGGTGTTTCCCCGTTCCCAGACAGATATTTGCTACTGTTAATCTTACAATTTAATTGTCTTGACTATTTTACATTAATTCATCTAGTCTTTTCACCTTTCAATTCCCCACCTACAAAATACATATTAAAACCTTGTTAGGGTCAACTTCTAGATCTTAAGCTACTAGAAGTCAGATACAATAATTTTAGCATAACATCAGAGGCACTTGAGTTCTTCTAAAATTTTGTTTGGTTTTCACTGAAAATGTGCATATTGCTTTTTAAAAAACATATATTTCGGACATGTTTTGACAAAACTTTAAACTCATAGGGAAGAATCAACTTTGGCTCATTTAGCAAGTACATATATAGGCCCCAAATATGAAGGAAACCTATCAAATACATCTAAAATAAGACAGGAGACCAAAAAAGTTTGTTGCATTTTGACTTCTTTAATAATACACTCAAAAACTTAATATGAAAAGAATCCACTATTTTAATTAACATTTAAACACTCTTATAAAGAATAAAAGACCGAACACATTGTTGAACAAACTGCAGCGTGTCTTTAGGTTCGTAGGCTGCCCAATGCATTTTAAATTTATAGCAAATGAAGTCACAGAAAAATAGGGCTACAAGAAAACCCCACAAGTTAATAACTTGACTAGAATCAGATTCCTCTTGATGCAGAATAATCTTTGCATTCATTTGACGGTCATTTTGACTCATCTAACAAACCACACAGATGTTGACCACATGGCCTTGAAAATGCGAAATGGCCATTTACATCTAAAATGAAGTATTATAGACAACCAAAACAAAATCAATTCCCTTAATTACTGGTTTTCATTTTCAAGATGAGCACTGGAAATGTTAACATGAGATGAAATTTCACTATTTAAACTCACATTCCATATACTAAGACAACAAATGATTGCAGCAAGAATATAGACATACTGCAGCTGCTGGCTTTAATATCGACACACTGGTCAAAATATTGAGAACTTCAAAGCATATGAAGTCACAAAATTGGGTGGAAAACCTTAAGACGGTTTAATTCAACACGTTAATTTTGCAGCTGACCAAACTGAATACTAAAGGGAAACTGGGTCATAATGATCTATATGTGTTTTTGAAATGATAGAAACTACCTTGGTTGTAAAAAATGCAGGTTGGTCACTTTAGGATAACAATCTTCAAATTGGCAATTCAAATTTTCCCACTATATGTGAATAAACTGGGAAGGATGTTATATCTCCATGAAAAGTTACTCTAGTAAGTTAGGAAGCTTTTTACTGAAGCTTTAGAATAAAAGTACACTTCACAAATGGAACAGTGAACACAAATTATTACAAGTCAAGATAATAATCACATACAAGTAAACTTCCTGGTACACAAAAATCATTTTGATGACCTTTTTAAAATAATGAATCCAAATAAAGTATTATTTACAAATACAGGACAAACATAAGACCACTTAGTAACTTTAGAGTTTATGTAATATTCTTGCTGAAATCAATTACTGAAATAACCAACAAAATGATAGAATATCTTTAAAGCAGTAACCTCCTTATAAGTTGTAATAATTTAATTTGCTAATTTTTAGGACTATAAATTTTGTGCAAATAGACTTCCTTTTTATTGTTACCCAAATTACAGATATCCAAGATACCGATGATGTGTACTCTATCCAGCTCAGTTGCTGCTTTTATAATATCACCTAAAAATAAAAAGCAGATGGTAAGTACTGTAAAATAGTTAAATATTTACTTGGATTTAGTATCACATAAGTTGATGATTTTTTTCTTACAATATTAGCACTGTCCCTCATCTTTTCCCTCCTTCCTACGCATTTACCAAAGTTCTGATATAGTAACTTCTGCAGATAAAAGTGAACATATCAAACAGATATACCAATAATGTCAAGACATGGACTGGTACTCCAGAGCCATGTTTAGTTTTTGGTTTTTTGTTTTGTTCTTGGCGGAGCAAAATAAATCTACATATCTTCAAGATCATTTATAAGGTCCCAAATAAGCAGCTTATTGTTACATTTCAAAGAAGTAAAAAAATAAAATTTTCTATTTTGAAATCAATTAGCAATTTTTTGTAAAATCTACAAGTAATAAAGCAAAACAATAGATTGTTTTAATTATGTATTATATATAATTATATTAATTACATATTTTAATTGCATATGTATGTATGTATACATATGTGTATGTGTATTATTGAAGCTTCTTTTAAAGTATATCGCCTTTGAAGTGACTTTATTAACTAAAACTTAGTTTTGGATATCTCAAGAAGCTCTAGCAGAAATGGATCAGGTGAGTGACATCACTGAAAATGGCAGAATAGGGAATTCTAGGGTTCTGTCTCTCTACAAAGCATATTATAAGCTGGCAAAAACTCTCAGAATCAACTTTGCAGAGCTCTGGAATTTAGACAAAAACTTGGAAAAAAAAAGAAACTGCTTCACCATGGGAAGAGTGTGCTGTGGTGTTTTAAGTTGTCTGCCTACCACTTCTCACTCCCCAGAAAACTGGCAGCATGAAGATGGCAGCTTGCGCTCCTGGTGCAGGTTGCTAGTATGAAAGGGAGTAAAGAAGAAATAATATTTAAAGATGTAGTTGTAAAGTTTAATCTATTCAGCAGCTCTCTAAAAGACAGATGGAAGAGCTTGCTTTTGCTTCACCCAATTTGGAGCATTCCCACAGCTGGGGTGGCTTTCCCAGTGGCAGCTTTGTTGAAAGCATATAAGGGCAAAAGCATTGGCCGAGGCAGATGGGTAGGTTATAAAGTTGAGACTAAAAATAGGCAGGCCATTAAAGTCTGGACAGGAAGAGACTGGGAAAAGAGATGTGTGGTGGAATGAGGGCTTTTAAAAACTCTTATGTACACTGGGGAATCAAGAAGGCCACGTGCATACCTAGGGCAGAACACATGGTCAGGAAAGGCCTGAGAAGACTGTAATCATTCACCTCTGGCTGACTTTCAGGCTCTGAACAATTGGGAAGTGAAGGCTAAGGCAGAGTTGTAAATGGCCTGGTTAAGTGTTGAAAAGTGCCACCACACAGGACCAGTCTGCAAAAACTGGGAGAGCATTTCTTTTCTTTTTTTTTTCTGTTTCTTGGCTCCAGATGTTAGGAAAATCCTGTCAAAACACCAGTTTACTACTACTAAGCTAATAGATCACAGACTTTAGTGGCTACACACAAAAGACTTTATTGTAAATATTAGAAAAATGAAAATACTTAGAGGTTAAGTTACAAGCAAAGTTACATGGTAATTCTAACCCAGACAGACTGACTTCAAGCCATATAATTTTAACCTTATATGCGAGAGCTATATCGCTACAAAATTGTGTTAAAATCCAGGAGTGGATCTAGCTTTTGTGGGGCCTGAAGGGTATGTTATTCCAGGGCCCTTTTAATGAGAAAATACAAAACATTTAAGAATACCAATTGGGCCTTGGAAGAGACCTATGTAAATTTAGGTTTCACTAACTTCCCAGTAAATTCACTGTTCTAGACACATCAAAAACTCTAATGAATGATTTAAAATTGTGCAAGTTCACTAAAGCACAATGGATATCATAACAACTGCTAGTACTACATAATTTTCTTTTTCTTTAAATGGAATGGACTTCAATCCAGATGCTTTGGGAAGATTTCAAGATCTTCAGATTTGATGCTAACAATATTAACTCAAACCTTAAAAATTCTAATTGTTATCATATATTGACTTTTACAAAAAATGACTTACATACTACCCACAGCATGAAACATAAGCAAGTCTTCTGTTTAGGTAATTCTGCCTAGCTGTGTAATACTTTCAACAAATGATAACCTCTCTATGCCTCAGTTTGCTCATCTAGTACCTACATCATAGACGTTTTGAGGATTAAATACATGAAAAACATTTAGAATAGAGCTGACACATAGCAAGCACTCAAATAAATATTAGCTGTGATCATTTTTTGCCTAAGCAAAACTATTATGAAATTTAGGTACTATTTATATCACAATGATTCTCTTAAAAGAACTATAGACTTTACTGTCAAAACACCAGTTTACTACTACTAAGCTAATAGATCACAGACTTTAGTGGCTACACACAAAATACTTTATTGTAAATATGAGAAAAATGAAAACACTTAGAGGTTAAGTTAAAATGAGTTTCTCTATATTTCATTTTAAATGGTTAGAATTAAGAATTGTACATTTTTAGGAACATCACAAATGCATAAAGTAAGTGTGACAAAGGCAATGCTAAGTATTCTCTACTCCATTTCCTCTTCTTGGTTACAGGGGAAAACAAAGTGTCCTGGCTTCCCTTGCAGCTAGGCTGGGATAATGTAATTTAGTTCTGGCAAATGAGAATGCGAGTAAAAGTAATATGTCACTTCTAGTTCAATGTAATTAAAAGCCATCTCTTCTTTCTTCTCTGCCTTGACAACCCTAGAAGCCATTTGTTCTTGTTGGGCCACATGATGATCAACAAGATGAAAGCAGGTTGGATTCCTGAATCATTGCAGGGAAGAGAGCTGATGACTGATTGCAACAGACTTGAATAAGAAATAGACTTTTATTGTGTTAAGTCATTGTGGCTTTAGAGTTTCTTTGTAAATGCAACATAGTCCAACCTATCTTGCAATACACTATGGTAATCCTGTCTATGGAAATAATTAGGGAAACCCTGATTATCTAGAGAATAATAAAACTGTTTTCTTAAATGTGTTAAAATCCTTCCATATTATGCTATACTTCTGAAATGTTTATCAATGGATGTTAACTCAATGTTTTTAAGGAGGTGGATAGCATATATATCCTTGTATTTCATAGTTAAAGATGATACCAAGTAGGCCATCTTATTAGTATAAGCATCATTCAATAAGCTATTTGGGATAAATGGTTGACCCTTTGGAAAAAATATAAAGCTGAACCTCTGTCTCACTCTTTACACAAAAATAAATCCCAATAGATTAAATTTTAAATTGTAAAAATAAGGCCAAACCAAACACCCTTCAAAACCCAAATCTAATTAAAAAATATGCAAAGGATATATATATAGCCTATAAGCCCATGAAAAGATGTTCAACACATTATTAGTGATTAGGAAAATGCAAATCAAAACCACAATAAGATACCATCCATGAAAATGGCTTTTATAAAACAAACAAACAAAACCCAGAAAATAAGTGTTGGTGAGAATGTTGGAGAAACTAGAATCCTCATGCATTGCTAGTGGGAATGTAAAATAGTGCAGCTGCTTTGAAAAAGTTTGACAGTTCCTCAAAAAGTTAAACACAGAATTACCATATGATCCACAATTCTATTCCTAGGTATATATCCAAAATAAGTGAAAGTAGAAACTGAAACAGATACTCGTACACCAATGTTCATAGCAGAAATATTCACAATGGTTAAAATGTGGAAACAATTAAAATGTCCATTACCAGATGAATGAATAAGCTAAATGTGGTATATACACAAATCCAACAGCACATTGAAAAAATAATATGCCATGACCAAGTGAGTTTTATACCAGGGATATAAGGATAGTTCAACATACGCAAATCAATAAATGCAATACATTGCAAAAACAGAATTAAGTACAAAACCATATGATCATCTCAATAGATGCAGAAAAAGCATTTAATAAAATCCAGCATCCCTTCATGATAAAAACCTATAGCTAACATTATATTACAAAAGGGGAAAAGTTGAAAACATTTCCCCTAAGAACCAGGACAAGACAAAGATGTACACTTTCACTTCTCCTATTCAACAAAGTACTGGAAGTCCTAGCCAGAGCAATCAAGCAAGAGAAAAAATAAAATAAAATAAAGTGCATCTAAACTGGAAAAGAGGAAGTCAAATTATCCCTGTTTGCTGATGATATGATCGTCTATCTGGAAAAACTTAAAGTCTCCACAAAAAAAATCTCTTAGATTTGATAAGTGAATCTAGTAAAGTTGTAGGCTACAAAATCAATGCACAAAATAAGTAGTATGACTATACACCAGTAACAATCTAACTGAGAATGAATCAAGAAGGCAATCCCATTTACAATAGGTAAAAAAAAACCAAAAAAAACCTAGGAATAAATTTAACCAAGGAGATACAAGATCTCTACAAGGAAAACTACAAAACACTGATGAAACAAATTGTAGATGACATAAATAATGGAAAAAAAACTTCCCATGTTCATGCCAGTTTAGAAGACCATACAGCCCAAAGCAATCTACAGAGTCAAAGCAATCCCTATCAAAATACTTTTTTTTCCACAGAATTAGAAAAATAATCCTAAAATTTATATGGAATCAAAAAAGAGCTCCAGTGGCCCAAACAATCTTACGTAAAAAGAATAAAGTGGGAAACATCACATTATCTGACTTCAAATTATATTATTATATTACAAGGCCATAATAGCTAAAACAACATGGTATTGGTATACAAATGGACTATAGATTAATGGAACAGAATAGAGAACCCAGAAATAAAGCCACATATTTACAGTCAACTGATCTTTGATAAAGCTGATAAGAACATACATTGGGGAACGGACAACCTTTTCAATAAATAGTGCTGAGAAAAGCGGACTGCCATATGCAGAGGAATGAAACTGGACCCCCATATCTTACCATATACAAAAATAAACTCAAGATGGATTAAAGAATTAAATGTAAGACCTGAAATTACAAAAGTACTAGAAGAAAATCTAGGGAAAACTCTGCTGGACATTGGTTTCGGCAAAAAAAAATTGTGACTAAGTCTTCAAAAGCACAGCAACAAAACCAAAAATAAACAAATAAGACTTACTTTAACTAAAAAACTTCTGCACAGCCAAATAAATAATCAACAGAGTGAACAGACAACTTGCAGAACAGGAGAAAATATCTGCAAACTATTCATTCAACAGGGACTAATATCCAGAATATACAAGGAAGTCAAACAACTCAATAGCAACAAAAAATCCCCAAATAGTCCCATCAAAAAGTGGGCATAGGACATGAATTGGCATGTTTCGTGTTTTTTTTTCTTTGTTTTTTTTTTGAGTTGGAGTCCCACTCTGTCATCCAGACTGGAGTGCAGTGGCCGCTCCCGGCCACTGCAGCCTCGATCTGCTGGGCTCCGGCGATCCTTCTGCCTCAGCCTTCCAAGTAGCTGGAACAACAGGTGCGCGTTACCGCGCCTGGCTAATTTTTTTTATTTATTGTAGAGATGAGGTCTCACCAAGTTGCCCAGGTGGGTCTCGAACCCGCGGGCTCAGGCAATCCACTCACCTCAGCCTCCCAAAGCGCAGGATTACAGGCTGAGCCACCGAGCCTAGCCAAATTGACATGTTTCAAAAGAACAATACAAATGGCCAACAACTATTTGAAAAAAATGCTCATTATAAAATGTAAGTGTAAAGGAAAATGTAAGCATGAAAAAAATAAAAAAGTGGTATATACATACTATGGAATATTACTCAATTATAAAAATAGACGAAATTCTGATACAGATTACAACATGTATGAACCTTGAAAATGCAATGTTAAATGAAATAAGCCAGAAACAAAAGGACAAACACTGTATTTTTCCATTTGCATGAAATATTAAAATAGTCAAATTCATAGAGACACAAAGTGGAATAGCAGTCACCAGGGGCTGAGAAGAGTGGGAGAATGGGGAGTTATTGTTTAATGGGTACAGAGTTTCTGTTTGGGATGATGAAATGTTCTGAAAATGGATAGTGGTGATGGTTGCGCAACATTGTGAATGTACTTACTGTCATTGAATTAAATGGTTAACATAGCATTCTTTGCTTTGTATATTTTTCACAATAAAAATATACGTGTGAATATGATAAAGCTATAAAAGTGCTGAAAAGAAGACATAGTGAATTTTTAAAAAGTAGTCTTCAACTGAGTCAGGACTTTCTGAGTATGACATAAAACCAGCAACCACAAAATAAAAAACTGACATATTTGAGTACATATCAATACAATTTCCTGAAATACCAAAAACAAACCTCTCATTGAATAAATGTCAAACTGGGTTAAAGTATTTGAAACATATGACAAAGGTTAACTTCTTTAATATGCAAAGAGAACTTGCAAATTCATAAGAGAAACACTTGTAGAGAAAAATGAAAAAAATAAAGCTGGCGTAGAAAGTTATAGAAAGTTTATAGAAACAAAATATATAAAGCATATGAAGATTTTCAAGCTCAGAAATAATTAAGAAATACACATCAAAATAATGATATGCTATTTTTTGCCTATTATTCTATCAAAGATTAGTGAGACCAATAATACATAGTATTCACAAGGCCATGAGTAAAGTGGCACTCTTATTTTTGGTTCAAGTGTAAATTAGTATAATCTTTTTGGAGAACAATTTGGCAATATCGAACAAAGTTTTAAATGTACATAACTTCTTTATAATTGTACAAAGAGTTTACACACACACACACACACACACACACACACACACACATACATACACACACACATGGATATTCATTGTGATACTGTTTGCTAATAGCAAAAACATTTGGAAACAATCTAAATGTCCATCAGTAGGAGACTGGTTAATTAAAGTTTGGTGCAACCACACAGTGGAATACTTTGCAGTCATAGAAAAATGAGATAGCTCTCTATATATTAATATGAAATATGTCCAAGATATAATGTCAAAGGGAAAAAGATGGATATGAAATCATGTTTACTAATTCCATTTCTTTGAGAGAGAGAGAGAGAGAGAAAGAGAGAAAGAGAGAGAGAGAGAGAGAGAGAGAGAGAGAGAGAGAGAGAGAGATTGAATATATACTGTTATATACAAAAATAATACCTTTATGAAAAGATTCAAAGAGTACTAGTTATCTACTGAGAGTAGGTGAACGGATTGGTGGAAGGGGCCAGATCTGGGAAGGCAAAGAGGGGACTTTCACTTTTACCTGGCATCTTTCTGTACAGTTTGAATTTTTAAATTATTAACACATGTAGTTTTTGTAATATAAAGAAACTAGTTCATAAAGAACGTTTGAAAGATGACACGTGTTATATCATAAGCCACTCCATTATATCGCTCTGTAACTATTTTTATCTTTCAATTTCGAATCATGAAAAGAATGAACAAGTTTGGAATTAGATCTGGTTTCAAATTCTAGCTCTGTTACTCTCTGATAAATCTCTCTGATTTTCAGTCTTATTTTCTATAAATAGGGGATAATAATGTTCACCCTGTAAGGTTCTTATTAGAATTAGTTGTAACTTATGTAAAATGTCCAAGCACGGTGCTTGGCACAGAGTTAGATGGACATACTTTTAAATATTATTATTATATAATATATGTTGTAATATATTATATATTATTGTTATTATTAACACTGTGTCATGAAAAACATGGTATTCCACTCAGAATAAATCTCTTTGTGTTTGGTTACCAACTCATTTTCTTCTCTAATGATTCTTGTCCTTCAATCCCAAATAGTAACTGTTTTGGCAGAATGGTATATTTCATATGACCATGTTAGTGACTACTTAAATAATATTGGCACTAGCAACAAGCAGATAGCTGAAAACGCTAACCTAAAACTTTATATCAATACTGGCATATACATATAGCACAAGACCTGTGATGCAAGTGGATAATTTATAAAACAAGAGCAGGAGCTGCAATGTAAAAGGTGACACTGCAAGTCAACTAATACTTCATCTCTAAAATGAACTGGTGGGAGAAATAAAAAAACTAATTTCTTATAAAATTAGATACTCAGCAATCATTACAGTTTGCAGCAATCATTACTGCCAAAAGTTACTTCATCATAAAGAACAGCTCATAAGACTCGTCTAAAAACATGCACTCAAGAGTTTCATCAGCTTAGAAAGACCCACCACAAAATCCCAAGATAATAAAACAATCCTTAAAACTCTTTTAGATGTAATATCCTGACAAGTTCAATAAAATGTTTACCACATGCTTAGGAATTAGAAATAATAACAGAAATTGAATAGGATAATTATAATTGTACAGATGTTATAGATATATAGAAACAATATAAAGTCTAGTATATTATGCAGCAGCCTAAACAGTTGGTTGAAGAGTTTTCCTATTGGGATTACATATACTCCTGCAGTCCTCAAGGATTTTATTGCATAGCACTTGAATAACTAAACATTTATAAGAGGAAACAATTGTACCATACTATGCTATGGAGGTATTATGATTTCAGGCAATTAAAAGGTGAAAGGACAAATTGTCATGCCTGAGATAAAAGGAGAAAAGAGCAGAATTTGTACTGCTCCATGTGCATACCACTTAGGTTTGATGAAATACATGTAATTACATATAGAATTGTATTAAAAAAAATATTCTTGCCGGGCTCAGTGGCTCAGCCTGTAACCCCAGCGCTTTGGGAGGCCGAGGCGACTGGATTGCTTGAGCCCGCGGGTTCGAGACCCGCCTGGGCAACTTGGCGAGACCTCATCTCTACAATAAATCAAAAAAATTAGCCGGGCATGGTAGTCCAGCTACTTGGAAGGCTGAGGCTGAAGGACTGCCGGAGCCCAGCAGGTCGAGGCTGCGGTGGCCAGGAGCGTGCCACTGTCCTCTAGTCTGGGTGATGGAGTGAGACTCCAACTCAAAAAATAAAAAAAAATAAATAAAAAAAAATAAATAAAAAAAAATAAATAAAAAACAATATTCTTAATACCTGCCTAAAATACAAACAAGCTATTCAGTTTTCTAAAAGACATATTCTTATTTCTAAATCTTGAGCTACAATTACCAAATAACCTTTTAACTTAACGTACACTACCTTTCAAGGCTAAAGCTGTTTACAAAATAAAGGAAATAGGAATGCTTATAATACTAATTAATTTTTTTCTGAGTGAAAAGAACACTGGGATTATTTTACCTGCAAGTCCTCTTGGACCTGACAATCTGTCTGTGCCAGGTATTTCCTGTGGATATACACAGCTGTAATTCATACAGGTTAACAATGTATCTATTTGAGATGTTCGGAGATCTTCTGGACAATACATGGGTAGGAATGCAACATCAATTGCTATCTCATGGTTCAGACCTGTTAGAGAAAAATCACATGCTATTAAAAGTTCAGTGAGTTAGCACATGGTGTTCATGAGGCCACTTTTGCTGGGTTGATCTTAACATGTGCTAAATAGCTTCAGACCTAAAAACAAACAAACAAAAAAACAAAACCTGTGTTTCAAAACTGGGGACTAAACCCTTAGCTTTGCAAGCAATTTATGAATACATGGTATTGATTTAAAGAGTAGACACCTCAGTGTAACCTATCACCACTGCTAGAAATAACAATTCAAAATGTTTTCCCCACCAATAGAAGACTGAAATTTTACTATCCAGAGGACTGCCTGGTCACATAAATGAAGACATGGAAAGTGTTGCCTAATATAGATGCCAGATGCCATTACAGAGTAGGAGAATTCAGAGATGACAAGTGGTTCCTTTATTGCCATTTGGACTTTAGGATATCTGACTCAAGCAAGGCTGGGGATGGTAGTAACTAGGTCCAATCTGTCTTCAAATATAAAAGATAAACTTTACATGCTTATTGTTAGGCCTATAAAATGTTGTAGTAGAAAAAAGGCTAAGTGGGAACAACCAAAGTGAATCCTGACCATCTTTTTATGTGGGTCAAGTTCAGTTGGGGTGGATAAAAGAAGATAAGAGTTTTAGCTGGGCACTAGAGGATGAATAGCATTTAAATAGAGAGGAGAGCATTTCAGGCATGGCAGGGAGCAGCACAAGTCAAAGGTATAGATCAGGGTAAACAGACCATCTTGGCTGGAGCAAGGCTAAACAAACACACAGAGCACAGCTTTAAAATTATGAATTTCACTGAGTCACCCAAACCAGAAACCCGGAAGTTATATTCCCTTTCACTCTTCCCCGGTATTTAATCACCTAGATTTTATGATTTTAATATTTTTCCTATTTATCTCTTACAGAAATTCTTAAGTATTGAGTATGGGCCAATGATGGGTAAAGTCCTTATTAAGTTTCAAACTGATCCACTAATGGAAATTCTTTGCTTTTTGTGGGCAAATGATGTTAAATTTCATAGATTTAATTTAACATACAACTAAGATACAAATAAGAACCACTTAAAGTTTTTTAAGGATTACTACAATTTGGTATTCATAAACTAAAAGAACTATGTTATCAAGAATTTCCTAAGGATTCCAATTCAATATTATAAGTATAGCTACCCCACAACTCTTAGCAATATTGCAAAACTCCTGTGAGTATGCACACACTGGTATCTTAGGTCCTTGATTCTAAGACTAGATTTAACTCTAAGATATACCATTGATTTTATATGTTTTTTATAAAATAAAAACACAGTATTAAATGTACTCTTTGCCCATAAGATGCATTCCAACTTGCAGATGTAAAAAAGAAAGGATATCTTAGAACTGTGAGAAAATCAGAAGTTTTAAATCCTGATATTTCCAGGAAAATAGATTTATCATAAATGCGCGATTGATAATATTTTGAGTTTCTTTCTAAATTTTAAAATATTGAGTTTAGTTTCAACATTATCAGTAAAATTTGTTCTGAGCTGTTTGATTAAAACTAGCGCTCAAAGTGCAAATACAAGTCAACAGGCCTCAGGGATTCTGTTGTTGTTGCTCCCATGCCTAGAATGTTCTCTCCCCAGACAATCACATGGTTTCCTCCTTTACTTCTATCAGGTTTCTGGTGAAATATTACTTTCTCAGGGAGACCACTCTATTAAAATTTAACTCTTTCTTACTACAGCACTCCTCAGCGCCCGCTTTTTTACTAGCACTTATCACCATCTCTACTACAAGCTTTCTTAGGCAGAGTTTTTATCTGTTGTGTTCACTAATGTAACTTTATCACCTATAACAGTGCTAGGCACACAGTAGGTGCTTGAAAAATATTTGCTAAATTGAGTAAGTAAATGCACATTTGTGTATTTTATCTATATACTTTTTCAATGCTAGACTTACAAACATTTGTGTATTAGTATTCAAATATAAATTCATTCATATTCCTATTACCAATAAATGAACACAAATATCCTGTCCAAACTCCAAAAGCAATGGCTATGATGTAAGGAGAGTTGTTAAAATAGTCTTTTATAGATTTTTTTGATCAAAAATTTTTTTGGAAAAATTTTGCCATATGGCTTGTTCTTTCCCTTTTCTGTAAAGTATATTAAAATGATAATTTAAAATTTTAATATCGTTAATTGTGACATCAAAATAATTTAATATAGTTACATTGAAATAACAATGCTTTACTTACTTATCTTGATTTTTTTCCTCCTATTAAGGCAGCCAAGCAAACCAACATAATTACTGCCTTCCTTGTTATTAGCCTGTGGGCTCAGGGTCAATTATTTATACCCCTGGGGTATGCCTCTTTCCTTGCTTAATGCTCACTTGAATGATTTACTAAGTAGCACTGGGCTCCCTCACTGTTGGTTTCCTCACCAATTAATGCTATTATTGGGGTTTATAGCTCTTGACTTCCAAAAAATACACAGTTGAGCTTCAGAGACTTTATAAAGGCTGGCTGGATTATGTTCCTAATTGTCCAAGTGAAATACAAATTGAAGAGAGGGCTCTTAAACTCTGATTGACTCATTAGACTTCATACTTCATGGATAACTTAATGTTAGTAGACTCAATGATATACTGACAATATCTATAAGTTCAAACTTTTAAAAAGTGTCTTTTTATATTTAAGGTGAAAAATTATTATTCAAATTGGGAGACTGAACAACAGATTTTAAATTTTGTACTTGGGCTAAAGGCACTGAAAATCTAGTTTGTTACTTCATCTCAATATATTCTCTTTAAAGTATGTGATCTTATATGGTAGGCAATGGACTGAGATTTTAATGGTCCTATCTATTGATCTGAGTATGTAAGATGGCATAGCAAGAATTTGAAGTCAAGAACCAGTGCTTCTGGGATAGATTTCTGATATTGCCACAGTACCAAGCTGGTTGTTGAGAACCATTAGGACCAAAGGAAAACTAATAACTCTATTCAATGTTTTCAGTAACAATTCACCCTATAGTAGCCAGAGATAAATGATCAAGTAGTAAGTTTTGGTTGTGGTCCAAATAACTTTTCTGATATCAAGAATAAGGTACTTCAGAATTTCTGTGTCTTCTAGAAACTAGTAAGATACTACAGAAGGATAATAAACCCCTAGAAGATAGTATCAATGTAATTTAGATAATCTTCATGCTTGGGGAACTTTAAACGTCATACAGATTTATATGCCTGGATTAGTTTAGGCAATCAACTAAGAACAGGGGTCTAGAATAGGGTAAACTATGGCGGGAGGCAAATCCAGTCTGCACCTAGTTTTGTACATCCCATGAGCTCAGAATGGCCTTTACATTTTTACTTGATTAAGAAATCAAAAGAATAATATTTTATGACATAGGAAAATATGGAATTCAAATTTCAGTGTGCATAAGTAAAGTTTTAATTAAATACAGCAATGCACATTCATTTACACTTAATCCATGGCTGCTTTCATGCTAAAACAGAAGAGCAGAGTAGTTGCAACAGAAATTTTGTGGCCTACAAAGTCTACTTGGCCCTTTACAGAACAAGTGTGCCTCCTGGTACAGGGTACCCTTAAAGTCATCTTCCAATCTTAGGATTACATCTTTTAACAAATAGCACACTTATAAGAGATTTAATCCTGTCTTCTGAGTTCATTGTTCATGTCCAAGTTTAAAATATACAAACTATTTGTCTGGTCCTGTAATATAACTTGGTTTATACTTTTCTAAAAGATAGGACAAATTCACCACTTTCACATCTGAGATTCAGCTCTCATTTTAACCAGTATCAGAGAACATCTGTACTTCAAGTACTACTTAGAGCATAGTGGTTTCAACTTTTATTCTGTTCCTATGTATCTGATAGACAGGATATATCCTTGCCAAGGGTACTCTCTGGGGCAATAAGTCTCTTCTATTAAGGGCAGGAGACTGAATGGGCTGCTTCTTTAGTGTGTACCAGAATTCCAGGAAGGGTGAGTAGGCCTCCCTCGGACAATTTTGTTAGGCTACCCCATCTCACTAAGGTTTTATGAAAATTGCTGGATCCAGTACCATTTATCTTAGTTCTCTAGATTTTATCAGTATATTAAATTAAACTATTAGAAAGTGAAGCACTTGGATTATATAAAAATAAAGTGAACATATACTTCTTTATAGAAATGCTTTACTAAATTAAGACTAATGACTACACTGATTATGTATATTATAAGGTTGGTGCAGCAATCTACTATCTGAAGAACATTTATACCCCTCCTATTTTTTAAAAAAAGAAAACTATTGTTGAAGATAATCCATTTGTTAGCTTGCGCTATTTATACGATAATTTCATATAGCAAGTTCAGATTTGAGTTCTGTTCAAGGAAAATAATAATAGGATTCCTATATATGATCATTTGTTTTCTCTGCAACAGAAGATATATTTAGAGACTGAGACCTGATTTCTAGTAACAGCCTGGCTTTTACCTAGTAAGAATAGAAGATATCCAAGTTTCTTTTAGCTCTAAAATTAAATATCTCATCAGAAAAAAACCAACAACCAAAAAACCCCCGTTCTCCTTTTTTTGCCAGAAAGGTCAGAGAAAATTAACACCAAATGGTAGAAATTTGGTAATTTGCAAGTAGCTAGTAACAACACTTACTCTTTCTGCTTTTTTAAAAATGTTCTGTTTGGTTTAATTCAGAAACAACTTATTTTTCACCATCTTTTCATCGTGTAAGTCATCTTAGGAAACATGTTGGATATAAAATTGTTATAAAAACATACTTCTCATATGGATTAGAGCTGGTGGGCAGAATGATAAATTTTCCCTCTTCATATTTGATTCTTCCTTTTTGTTGATTCATAGCCAAAGCTACAAGTGTTTACAATTACATGTAAGACAGCTGAGAAGTCTCAGTCAAGCTGTTTTAATAAATCAGCAGCTTTTTAAAAGGAAAACAATATTCAATTTCCAGGGTTACTTTTTCGATGTATGGAAAAGTTTTCTATAATTTTTGTTTCCTAGATAAAAAAACTAAGGTTGAGATTAGGCGTAGTGGCTCAGCCTGTAATCCCAGCACTTTTGGAGGCCGAGGCGAGAGAATTGCCTGAGCCCGGGAGTTCGAGACCAGCCTGGGCAACTTGGCGAGACCTCATCTCTACAATAAATAAAAAAATTAGTGTGCCTGAAGCTCCAGCTACTTGGAAGGTTGAGGCGAAAGGATTGCCAGAGCCCAGCGGGTCGAGGCTGCGGTGGCCATGAGCGTGCCACTGCGCTCCAGTCTGGGAGACAGAGTGAGACTCCAACTCAAAAAAACAAAAACAAAGCCAAAAAAAACCCAAGGTTGATAAACTACCTGAAGAGACCAAGTAATGCAGAGTAGTGAAAAGAAGCATCTGAATCTTAGGTCTATGATTATCTAACAGTCAGTAGAAATTCAGACATTTTTTTTTTTTTTTGAGTTGGAGTCTCACTCGGTCGCCCAGACTGGAGTGCAGTGGCCGCTCCCGGCCACCGCAGCCCCGACCTGCTGGGCTCCGGCGATCCTTCCGCCTCAGCCTTCCGAGTAGCCGGAATTACAGGCATGCGCTACCACGCCCGGCTGATTTTTTGATTTATTGTAGAGATGAGGTATCGCTGCCCAGGAGGGTCTCGAACCTGCAGGCTCGGGCAATCCACTCACCTCAGCCTCACATATTCACATGTACATATTTATGTGTAGGGGGGTAGGAAAGAGCAGGTGCGAGGGAATAAAGGGGAAATTAGAATCTTGATAAAGGTCAAGGCAATTCATTCCAGTACTATAGGTATGAACTATATCATTCAGTCATTCTGTTAATTTGCTAATGATATTTTTCCTCATTCTTTCATTTTAAGATAACAAGACCTAGTGCTAAGATCTTCCTGTGAAACACAAATACAATTATTTACTTGACTCTGAGAGCCATTTTGCCTAAGGCTTTATTTTAGAATAATTTTCTGTGTAGATTTTTTTACCTGTTAGAAACAAACAAAAAATAAATCTAAGTTTTAAAATGTTTTGACTCCTTTAAATTTTTATAGGTTCCATAACTGTCTCTCAGTTTTGAACAACCTGGAAAGAATAATTTATTTTCCCTTATTAGAAAAGGAAAATTTTTTCAATATCTTCTTTCTGTTCAACCTTAGTTACTTGAGATTTTTATTTTTTTCAGGGTCTAAATAGACCTTGTTTCATAGGGTCTTCTCTTGACTAGTACCTTTTTCTTTTTAACATACACTTTACTCTTCAATGGTCAGATAAACTGAGAAAGCAGCAGATAATATGGACATGAAAGTGGTGGCTAATCGAGAACAGAAGCAGTCATAGAAGTATTCAGATAGGAGTGAGGAAAGTTCTCTTTATTCCCATTCTTTTCCCAAATACTGTCCAAGGACTTAATGTTTAAAAGTCCACAATTAGAGCTTCAATTATTTCAGAATGAGTGCTCCATTCTTTTGTTTGAGCCAAACAGGAGCTACCCTTGGCTTAATTTTGTTGTGTATGTGGGGGGATCAATTTTTCAAAGCAAAGTATTTTCTATACAGGTATTTAAAATATATTAAATTAATGATATTCAAAAACAAGAACAGTTGACTTACCTAGGATGGTTACTTCAAAATGGCCAAGGCTTCGGGCACTTTTAAAATCATTAAGTTTTGGAGGATTTCTTTCTGGTGGTATGTATTTTGCTGGCTGAGAATTGTACTGCTCAGTAAGAAACTTTCTGTGTTCAAAAAGAAATTTTCGTGGAATGCTTTCAGGATAAACATGGCTGTAATGCAGGTGATCTATTAAGCCAAACTTTTTCTCTCTCCACAACTGACTCTCCCATTTATCACTTATAGTTTTCCTGGCTTTCCCTGGCAAACCAGTGCTTGTACTTTCTCGACCTGTTAAAGACATGAGATAGACCCAAATGACCTTCAAACTGACCAAACAAGTCATTCACTGTGAAAAAAACATAGATTAATGAGGAAGAGTTTATTTGTAGCTTTAAAAATCAAACAACCACTCACAAAATGTAAAATAAATATACAAAAGATAGTTCTTATTAAAGTGAGGAGCAAACTAAATTCACTTTCAAAATTAACTTTTACGTCAAAATATTAAAAGTGACATTGTTTTTTTCTGTTTTTAGAATTATGTACATTTGTAACTATCTTCTTTACATTTTTTCAAAATTTTCAAAATGCTCTTAAATAAACATATTCCTTTTACATTCAGTGACAAATTCAAGATAAATCAAATTCATATGAATGGTACCCTTTAGAGAGTACTCACTACTGGCAGAATTTGAGCATAAAACAAATTTTAAAAAAACTCTGCTAAAAGTAGCCTGAACAAATACAGTCCTTTTCTTGGATACAACTCTCCTTCAAAAAGGTCATTTATTTATTTATTATACATGACATGTCTTTCAGATAACATGAAAAACAAAAAGAATTAAAATGAGGTAAAAGAATAATCTTTTATCTTGAATGATCTTGAACAATCAAGATAAATTCTTGATCCCTATCATCAAGTCAAATGATCATTTACATACAATTTGTCTAACACATTTAGTTTCTAAGGCAGAATATAATTTATATCTTGTACATTATGACATTCATTCATTCACTCAACAAATAATTATTGAGCACCTATTATGTGCCAGGTATTATGCTAAAAATCTGGTACAAATAATATTTTTGGAACTTCCGGCAAGATGGAAATGGAACAGGTCAGACTGTAAGAGTCTCTGCAAAAGCCAGCATCCATAAAGTCTCTCTGCATTAGTAGATGTGTGCTGGTGGGTGAGAGAAAGTTCATCTGAGGGGAGACTCTGGCTCACGCACCTGGAGCTATTCTCCAGAGGTGACTGCAACCCCCCACTGCCCTGCTATTAGAGCTGCTGGTGTGCAGGATTGTCTGCCATTCTTGGGACCCTCCTAAGAAGAGTTTGCTGAATTCAGCTGATTCTCATTTGGTTCTCATCACCTGGTGCCAGGCCCATACCATCACCTGCATCAGCAAAGCAGCTGAAGCCCCATCCGTGGAGAGAGAAGATTAGGGAGAGCTGGAGAGCAGCCCCGTTCCTGTGAGGAAATGCCCACACAGCCATTTTCTCTGTCCCGGGACCAGGCAGAGCACTGCATTGCCCCACCCAGCTGTGCCTAGCCTCCAACTTGGGACCTAAGGTAATCACATCAAACTCAGAGAGACAGAAGCCCCTCCCCCATGCTGGATTAGATACAGACAGGTCATATCTGAGTGGCAGACTTGACAGGCAGCAAGCCAGATAAGTCCAGATCTGATCCACCCTATTCCCACAGTAGGCCCGGGGCGTCTGACCCATGCTGAGAGCAACCTTATTAGCCTACTCTGAGGGCAGAGGGGAGAAGCTGGAGATCAGAGCTGAAAGGAAGTTGAACGTACGGGAACACCTCAGAGAGAGTTTTTGTTGTTGTTGTTTGTTTTGCTCACTTTTGTTTATTTTAGTTTTAGCTTTTTTCTCTTTCAGTTTTTGATAACATTTTCATACTTGCTGTGTTTCTGTAATTGAATTACTGTTTTTTTAAGACTTCCCATCTGTGAATGGGTATTTTTGAGGGAGAGTAAATCAATGGGGGGAGTTTGTTGGTTTGTGCATTCATATGATTGTCTGTATGTTTTAGATTTTTTTTACTCTTTTCTGTCTTTGTTTGTGTCTCTTTTCATATATTAGTTGGTTTGTTTCTTTTCCCTCTTACTCCTCTCTCTCCACCTTCGTCTCACTCCCTTTCTTCCTTCTTCCATTTTCCTTTCTCTTATGTCATTTTGCTTTCAGGGGGCAAACGTATACCCCCACTGCATAGACATATTGTAAGGCGGTAAAAAGTAGGTTCCAGGGGGCCCACACACCTGCCAGTGGATACTTGGATCTGCAGATAGATTCTGAATCTCAGTTCCCCCCTCAATTAAATCTCAAAACTACAAAAAGTACAGCCTCCCACCACAGTCTAGTTTCAGAATTGAACAAAGCTGGAGGATCCACCTAAGAAAGAATAGGAGATTAAGCAAACAGAAGTAAAAACTACCCCCCCATCCCTGAACAACATAATTAAAGAAGAGGGAAAAAAGGAGGGAGGAAAATCTACACAAATGTAGAAAAACCAAAAGAAGTATATGGATCTCACACAGACTCCTGGGAGGTCAGACACTGAGAATAAAGACTTTAGAATGCAAGCAATGAAGAGGCCCCAGAATGACTAGTCTCAAACCACAGACCTGGATATCAAAACATTAATGGAGAAATAGAATTGGAGAGGCAAGAGGAAAGAATGAAGGAGTTGATAACTGAGATAACAGCAATAAAGAATACAGTGAATGAATTAAATAACAAACTGATAAGCATGAAAAGCAGAATCAGCCAAGCAGAAGAAAGAATCTCAGACCTTGAGGACAAAAATATGAAACTAACCCAAACTGACAAAAACATAGAAAAGAAGATTAAAAAGACAAAGTCTTCAAGAGATGAGCGATTATTTCAAGAAGCTGAACCTGAGAGTAATTGGACTTCCTGAGGCAGAAAGAGAGACAGAGACCACCCAGGAACAAAGATTCTATGAAATTATCCAAGAAAACTTCCCTCATCTCATCAGTGACATGACCATTCAAACATAAGAGATTCAGGGAAACCCTGCAAGATGACAAATGAGTAGACCAACTCTTAGACACATAGTAATTCGCCTATACAAAGTAGGTATAAAAGAAAAAATCCTAAAGGTAGCAAGAGAAAAAGATCAGACTACCTGCAGGGGAAAACCATTTGGAATAGTAGCAGACATATCTATAGAAACGCTTCAGGCTAGGAGAGCTTGGAGCCCAATCTTCAAAGTTCTAAAAGATAAACAATTTCATCCAAGAATAATCTACCCAGCTAAGTTAACTTCATCAGTGATGGAGAATTAAAATCTTTCCCAGACATTGAATCCCTAAGAGCTTATGCTGCCTCCAGACCAGCTCTACAAGAACCACTTAAGAAAGTATTAAACACAGAAGAAAGGAAAAAAGAATGACAATGCCCTTCACAAGAATGCAGGAAAAATATTGACAACACATATGAATCGATCCAAAAATCAAAAGAAAGAAAACAGCAACAATACCAACAAACTCTATAAGAACCCCATGACAGGGATAAATTCTCACATTTCAATAATTAGCCTGAATGTGAATGGACTAAATGTACCAATTAAAAGACACAGAATGGCAAAATGGATAAAATATCATGAGGCAGCAATATATTGTCTCCAAGAAACTCATCTCACCAGAAAGGACACTCACAGACTCAAAGTAAGAGGATGGGAAATAAAATTTCAGACAAATGAAACACAAAAGAAGGCAGGAGCTGCAATCTTACAAAAAGCCTTTTAAGCTATCCAAAAATTAAAAAGGATAAAGAAAGTCATTATATAATGATAAAAGGTTCAATCCATCAATAAGAAATAGCCAACCTAAATATATATTCACCCAAAACCAACTTTCATAAAGCAGCTTCTAGATAAACTTAAAAAAGATATTGACTCTAATTCTATCATAACTGGGGACTTAAATATCCCACTCATGACCCTAGACAGATCATCAAGACAAAAAAAAAAAATCAACAAGGAGATCCAGAACCTCAACCAATGCCTGATCAAAGGGACTTAATTGATACCAACAGAATACTCCACCCAACAACCATGGAATATGCATCCTACTCATCACCACATGGAACATATTCTATGATCGACCACATCCTTGGCCATAAATCAAGCATAAACAAATTTCACAAGGTTGAAATCCTGCCATGCACCTTCTCAGACCACAGTGGAATAAAAATAAATATCAACACCAACAAAGCTCCCCAAAACCCCACAAAGACATGGACACTAAACAACATGATGCTAAGCAACCCCTGGGTAAACATGGAAATCAAAACAGAGATTAAAAGATACCTGGAAACAAATGAAAATGAAGAAACATCTTACCACAACCTCTGGGATGCCATGAAAACAGTAGTAAGAGGGGAATTTATACCTCTACAAACACACATGAATAAAATGGAAAGATCACAAGTTAACAGTCTAACAAATCACCTAAGGGAGCTGGAAAAGCAAGACTACCAAAATCCTAACTTCCTCAGAAGAATCCAGATCACCAAAATAAGAGCCCAAATTAGGGACATAGAAAACAAAAAGATAATAGAAAAAAAAATCAATGAAACAAAAAGCTGGTTCTTTGAAAGGATAAACAAGATCAATGGTACCCTAGCTAGACTGACCAAGAAAAAGAGAGAAAAAACCTAAATAAACACAATCAGAAATGCAAAAGGTCAAGTCACAACTGACCCCAAAGAAATATACAAGATTATCAGAGACTACTATGTACATATATATGGAAATTAACTTGAATACCTAAAGGAAATGGAGGACTTTCTGACATCACACAACCTCCTCAAGTTGAAACAAGAAGAAATTGAGACCCCAAATAGACCAGTGGCAATCAAGGAAATTGACTGTCATAAGAATACTACTTACAAAAAAAAGCCCTGGACCAGATGCTTTCCAGCATAATTTTACAAAACATACAAGGAGGAACTGATACCAATCATTGAAAGTATTCCAGGCGATTGAGAAAGATGGAACTGTCCCCAAATCATTTGATGAAGCTAACATCACATTGATACCCAAGTCAGGTAAAGATCCAACAAAGAATGAGAACTACAGGCTAATATCCTTGATGAACATAGATGCTAAAATTCTCAACAAGATCCTAACAAATTGGATCCAAAAACACATCTCAACAGTCATCTACCATGACCAAGTAGGCTTCATCCCCGCGATGCAGGGTTGGTTCAACTCATAAATGTAATTAAATACATCAAAAGATG